GGGCGAAAGGCACGTAGCAAACGTGCGGGCAGGCACTGGTTTGGGAAGGCTTGGGGGCGGGAGGGTCATCCCTCCTGGAGCCGGACCAGGCGTGCGACGTGTCTCAGTGCCAGTGTTCAGATGACCTTTCCCGTCCAAACAAGCAGGCCTGGAAGGGCATTCAGGAATCCCAAAGAGGTTTGACCAGTTTCGCGACTTGGATCGCCCTTGCATTGCTTTTTTTCCTTCCATGGACGGAAATTTTTCACATTGCCCAGGAAGAAGGCTTGGTAATGCAGACTCGTGTGTAGGAGGACCCGTATCACCACCCAAATGCTGCCAAGGGTAGTCAAATGGAGTATATGAAGAGTGCCACATCATCCAGTCTCCGTTGGATCTGATTATAAATGTACAGTATATTTGGGTAAGACAAGTCAAGCCTGAACAGCTCCCTAGAAGTGAACCTGCCTAAATTGAGAGTACCCTTATTTGGGCACATCATGAGAAGAGAAGACTTGATAGGTGTGACATTTACCCTGTGGCCCCTGCTTGTTTCACCAAACACAGAGCTCACCCGAGTATCCCAACACGTCCTTTCCCACGCTGCCACCAGTTGGTCTATTTATCAGCCTATATCTCCTATGAAAGACTGAGGTCCATTCACCACTGAACTTTTAAACAGAAACAGGTTTATTGATTACAAGTTGTTTTAGGAATACATAGTTCTTAAATACATTCTTAAAGTTACAGAAAGCGTCAGTATTTTACTTTAACCTCTTCTATCTAAATTAATACAGGTCACAGTCTTGACTAATCACTCCTTAAACCCTCTCTCTGCCTCAAACCCCCAAACTCTGTCTCTCTGACTGAACTCCCCAGACTCTGACTCACCCCTCTCTTCTAGTTTCTCTGACGCCGCTTCCCGACAGCTCTCACTGGTACGTGCAAATACACTGCTGCATAGTCATACCAGGGGTGATTGCTCCAATAGGGGAAAAAGTTACAGTGGGGGAAGCTGAAGGCAACAGGAAAAGAGGAAGATCAAATAAGAGATGGACTGACTCAATAAAGGAAACCATAGCCTTGAGTTTGCAAGAGCTCAGCAGGCGTGCTATTGATACGATGTTTTGGAGGTCAGTGCTTCACAGGGATGCCATCGGTTAGAAGTGACTTGACAGCACATTGCAGCTGCAATGACAGTTGTCTTTCATGGAGTACATGGTGACATATATAGAACCATTTTCTTTCTGTGACTGTGTAGGGTATATGATCAATTGAAAGACAAAACTAGCCTGCCATTCCTCTGGAAGCATCACACGCAGGCAAAATGTTGACGTTTTGGCCCATCCAAGCTCAATACTAGGCAATATTATTCCATGGTGACTTGATACAGCTTTGCAATCAGTCTGAAACCGCAGCCACTGTGATTTAAATTATATTTAGTCATGTCAACTGCATATGTATATATTTACACACTCACACATTCATAATTAATCCCATCTTTCTACTGACACCTCTCTTCCCGATCCTACAATTCTGGTCTTCCCAACAATCCTGTGCCGTAGGTTAGATGAAGGAGCTTAGCCATCCCATAGTCACTTGTTGATCTTCTTGGCTGAACGATGGTTTGAACTTTGGTCTTCACAGTTCTAGTTTAGCACTTTTGCCAACCGTTGCAGAGCTCCATGTTACTTTGTAATATTTAAGATCCATATTTTGACAGCCGCAATCAGATTCCAGGTGGAGGTGGAGGCCGGCCACCCCTGAACAGACTCCTCTACCCCTTCTTCTAGCGCTCAACCCATTTGTTCTGGTGAAAGGCCAGTGACCCATCTGAGTATACCTTGGATTCTTACCAGCCTGTCAGGATGCCTGTCAGAGAGTCCCCTTCCAGCACAGAGGGCATGGGTCTAGGACTTGGCCGACTCCTGGGACCTGTATTCTATTTCTGTCCGCCAAGCCACAGTCCGTTCTTGCGTAAGCCTGTATGCCTCTTTCCCTCTCACCTCTCACCCACTGACTGTGTTGTCTCTTTGGACAATAAGGGGTTGTGACTGTGTGTTGCCTGTTGCAAAAGTGGCTGCTGGTTGCATGGGAGACCTTGTGGCTTGATTCAGATTAAAATAGCTTTCAAATTGAGTGGACGGAGGAGGGCAGAGGGAATGGTATTGTGCCTGCAGCCCCCGTTCTCTCCATGTCAGCCCGCCTAGACATGTCTAGGCTTCCTGCATGACAGCTCTGATTTTCATGGAAGTGGATGACAAGCATAAATCTTGTAAGCATCCAGTTGAATGACAGAAGCGGGGTTAGAGGAAGGTAGCAGGAGGAAAATATTCAGCAGATGAAGACAGAGTTACTAGCTCTCTCTCTCTCCCCCCCTCTCTTTCTGCCCACTATCTCTCGTTCCCTGTCCTTCTTCCTGGTATAATTAGCTTTGGTAACCTGAGCCTGATATAAAATAGAGTGTCCACTATCTCTTGTTCCCTCTCCTTCTTCCTGGTATAATTAGCTCTGGTAACCTGAGCCTGATATAAAATAGAGTGTGGCATTCAAAAGACTAAAAAGTTTAGTCTGCCATAAATTTAGGTGGGCTGTCATGGGAATAAAGCAGAGCTAATTTTCCTCCACATCCTATGAACCGTGTTCTGGACTGATGTGTATATAAAAGTAAATAATATGTTTTTTTGGGGGTGGGGTGGGGGTTATTCCCATTGTTAAACCAACTGGTCATTAGCAGCACTTGCCTACTAACTATTTGCATGTTATTATCTTTTGCACAGCACTCATAACATTCTTCCCAATAGGGTTACTCTGTTTGATGTCCTCTCCCCAGACAGTCTTCTGTTTCCAACTTGTTGCGAGACAGAGATGTGGCTTTTAGCTGTTTCTTCATTCCAAGAAGGTATAGGATAGCCTTCCCATATCTGGTGTGGCAGGGAATCCTCATAAAACCCACCCACCAAAGCCATTGGACATGCCAGCTGGGCCTGATGGGACCTGAAGTCTAACAACATATGGAGGACTGCAGGTTTCCCATCTCTTGTTCAAAATAAAGCACACAAAATATCTACAAATGAAGTGAGATGTTTTGTCATTGTTTCTCCTCACACAACTATTGTCTTTGAAACAAATCTAACAATTACATTATTAATAGCATTTTATGAATAAAAAATTAAAAGAACAAAAACAATGCAACATTCTCCCATGTTATTCAACATGTACATGAAACTGATAAGAGAGGTTGTCCGGAGTTTCGGGGTTCACTGTCATCAGTATTCTTCATGGTCTTCCCTTTCCAACTAATTCCAAGGAAGCTGTCTTGGTGCTAAACCAGTGCCTGAGTTCAGTAATGGGTTGGATGAGGCCAAAAAACCCTGAAACTTAATCCAGACAAGACAGGTGCTCCTGGTCAACTGGAAGGCAGATGATGAAATAGGAATACAACATGTGCTGGATAGGGTTACATTCCCTCAGAGTACTCAGATTCTCAGCTTCAGTATGCTGCTGGATTCATCCCTGAGCCTGGATGCCTAGGTTATGGAGATGGCCAGGAGTGCTTTTGTGCAGTTACAACTGGTGTGCCAGCTGCACCCATTCCTTGAGATGTTTGATTCAGCTACAGTGGCTCAAGCCTTGGTTACATCCCACTTGAATTATTGTAACACACTCTGTGCCTTTGAAGATGGTTTGGAAACTTCAGCAGGTTCAAAATTCAGCAGCCAGACTATTGATTGGGGGAAGTTATAATGAGTATATTGATAATCACAAACACTCTTTTCCAACAACACAAGAGGTGACTCTACACATGGACATCACCAGATGGGAACTACCGAAATCAGATTGATTATGTTCTCTGCAGCCAAAGATGGAGAAGCTCTATACAGTCAGCAAAAACAGGACCTGGAGCTGATTGTGGCTCTGATCATCAGCTTCTTATAGCAAAACTCAAGCTTAAACTGAAGAAAGTAGGAAAAACCACTGGGCTGGTCAGGTATAATCTAAACCAAATCCCTTATGAATACACAGTAGAAGTGAAGAACAGATTTAAGAAACTAGACTTGGTGGACAGAGTGCCTGAAAAACTATGGATGGAGGCCTGTATATTGTACAGGAGGCAGCAACAAAAACCATCCCAAAGAAAAGGAAGTGCAAGAAAGCAAAGTGGCTGTCCAATAAGGCCTTACAAATAGCAGAGAAGAGAAGGGAAACAAAATGTAAGGGAGATAGGGAAAGTTACAGAAAATTGAATGCAGACTATCAATGAATAGCAAGGAGAGTCAAGAGGGCCTTCTTAAATGAAAAGTGCAAAGAAATAGAGAAAATAATAGAAAGGGAAAAACCAGAGATCTGTTCAAGAAAATTGGAGATATTAAAGGAACATTTTGTGCAAAGGTGGACATGATAACTTCTTCATGGATTGCTGCCTTGTCGTGGCGAAGGGGCTTGAGTAACTCAGAGAAACTATGGGCTATGCCGTGCAGGGACACCCAAGACGGACAGGACATAGTGGAGAGTTCCGACTAAACGCAATCCACCTGGAGTAGGAAATGGCAAGCCACTCCAGTATCTTTGCCAAGAACGCCCCATGATCAGAAACAAAAAGCTAAAAGATATGACGCTGGAAGATGGGCCC